ACAAAAAAAAAAAAATTGTTAGGTAAATAAAAGCCAATTAAGTAATCATTCTTTAAGCTTTCCATATATGATTTCAATTTTTCATTCAATTCAATTCAATTCAATTTAATTCAACAAATTCAATAAATTAATTTGAAATATTATTAAAACAATTAAATGGAATAAAATCAAAACAAAATAATTTAAAAAATTATTCAAACAATTAACAAAAAAGTTTAACGGAGGAATAATTTTAAATTTAAAAGAAAAAAAATAAATTTTTAGCGCACCACTTTTACTCCTATGTACTTTTCGTATTTTTCGCCAGGAATTTTTTCCGGATAAATCATTTTTTCGTTCCATTAACATATCCGGTAGCACATTCATCAATGAAACTTCCTTGCCGGATTTTTCTTCTTTACATTTTTCATCATATTTTTGACTTGTAGTATGTTGCAATTTTGTTTTTTCAATCGAATATTTTAATGAATTTCGAAATAATGAATCATGACTAGTTGTACGTAATTGATATCTATTCCGATTATATAAATGATTTTCATGTGATACGGTATGATTAGTGGAAAAATCTTGAGAAAAAGATTGAAATAATTCTTGACGATTATTGCCATTTTTGATTTTTTCCTTTTGTTGTTGTTGTTGTTGTTGTTGTTGTTGTTGTTGTTGTTGTTGTTGACATGATTTATTAATAGATAATGAATCATATTTGTCATCATATGTATCATTAGGCGCAATTGTCATATTTAGGCATATTTTAGCCATATATTTGCCATGATTAGCGGTTTTTTTAGCCGAATAAAATAATTTATCAGATGATGAATTAGCAGTGGGAAAAATATTAAATGATGTTGATTTAGTAAGTGTATATTCACCGCGACGTCGTGGCATTTTATTTTCAATATTTCTTCTCTTATTTTTTTAATTTTTTTTTCTTTTTGATTTTATTTTTTTTTTTTCAACCTAAAAATAATTCAAAAATTAATAGAATAAATATTGAATAAGTGAAATCAAACAAAGATTACCGTAACTTTTTTTTTTTAATGTGAAAAAAGAAAAATTAAATTAATTATATCATAAAATTAGTATGATTATTATGAACATAATTAAAAAAAAAGAAAAAGTAAATATTATAAGAAATTTGCATTTATGAGATTATGGTTTATTACAATAATCAATTTTATTTTACATACTAAATACTGATAATTATTATTATCAAAAATTAATTAAACTATACGAAATTAATTTATTTACTTTAGAACGGTAAATATTAACGGTTAACAATCAGGAATACTAATAATTCGGAATTGAAAAATGAAATAAAGAAAAAACAGTTGAAGGATTAACGATTTGAAATTATTTGAAAGATATCAATTATTCCAGTTCTATTCGTCTACTTTTTGCATTTATCGATAATATTATTTTGAAAAATGAACTAAAATAGATGAAAATTATAAATTCAAATCGGAAATAATTATTTAAATTGATTTGTGGAAACAATAAATAAATAAAAAAAGAAAGTACCAATATTCTAGGTAAAGTTTTTCATGACATTATCAATTATTTACACATTTCCACTCATCAAAAATTTACACTCTAAAAAAGTAAAATAAAAAAATTCAAATATTGGAAATGAAAAGCAAAACTTTAAATATTGGAATATATTGGAAATGAAAAGCAAAACCTGAAATTCTTTATAGACTAATCTATTTCTAAACATTCAACACAATTTCATATAACATTAGAAAACTAAATATTGCCAAATTTTGTTAAAATTGGCTGTTATAAATTGTACGAAATTTAAACACAACGAAATTAAAGGACATTTTTTTTCAACTTTTTGGCTTTTTTTTTCGAGAGAGAGAAAGAAAGAGAGGGAGCAGGAAGAGGAAAAGAGAGAAACAAAAAAAAAAGGGAAAATAAAAGAAAAGCAATTGTACTTAAAATGAATCACCGAAACATTTTCACCTCAAATATCTATTAATCAAAAAGTTTACATTCCATAAGGTTAGAACAATTACAATTGCGAAAGTCAAATATTTGTTAAACTGAAAAATGAGATTTAAAAGAAAACCAAAATGTTTATTATTATTATTGTCGTTATCATTATCATTATCATTATCATTACTATTATCATTATCATTATTGTTATCATTATCATTATTATAATCACTATTATTATCATTATTTATTATTATTATTATTATTATTATTATTATTATTATTATTATTATTATTATTATTATTATTATTATTATAATTATTAATTATTATCATTATTATTATTATTAATTATTATTATTATTATTATTACTATTACTATCATTATTATTTATTATTATTATTATTGCTATTATTGTCACTATTACCATTATTATTGTTATTATTATCACAGTAACATTATTGTTT